GTGAAGGCTGGCCTGTAATTTTCATAATATACTGTATTTTGTCCTCACTTCGCAGCAGCCACGTCAATTATAGCTTATTCTCTCCAGAGCCCTCCCATGCTTGTGCTGGGAAAAGGGCAGCTGAGTCCAATAACAGGCTGAAGCTGAGGATTTCTATTCTAGGTCAGGCAGGAGTGAGCCTGGGCACAGCATTTTTGCCCTAAAAAGCAGTACCAGGCGTAGCATTCCCAATCCTAAGGGCTCATTATAGTTTGGAAAAATGAAAATTAAAAAATAACTCTTGCTTTTGTTGGGCAGATATTAGGGATAGGTGAGGCAAGCAGTCCCTTCTTGACATCTTTGGTGGCCAAAATATAGGCTTGATGCCTAAGAGCTATTTGATGAGTTTGCCAGAAGTAGTTGGTAAAAAGGCTTGATATTTTTGCAAAGAAAAAGTAATGTCACTGTGTATGCCAAATATGCCACATTTTTGGTAATATTTGGCATACAGCAATACAAAACCACAGTGCATGGAGGGTGAGGAGCTCAGGGGCCGCTCCAGGGGGTCAGTGCTGGAGCAGCAGCAACTGAAAGAGCCCTCGAAATCCCATATTAAAGATTCCTGTTCCAATTCCCAGGTGATCCTAGAACACTTCTCTCTCCTGTTTTTGTTTTTTCCCTTCTAGCTGCCATGTGGGCTCCCCATAGCAATTTCTGAGGATGTAGACCAGATTTCTTTCATTTTGTTTCCCCCGATGCGAGGGAGTGTTGGCAGCTCTCAAGTCACCCAGAAGGGAGCCAGGAAGGAAGGGGGTCTGGGAAGGCTGATAGGAAGGGGGTCTGGGAAGTTGTTTCCATCCATCAGAGGAGATGCAGGTGGCAGCTCCGCCTGTACCCGGCTTCCATCCTGCTGCTGTGAGGAGAAAATCCATCTTGCAACAAGGAGCTGCAGGTAGGAGCTCTGCCCTGGCACACACGTACACACGGATTAGCCCTTACAGTTTAAAATCAAAAGTGTTTTTCTAGGCAGAAAACTCACAGCACCTTTTTTTTAAGCGATTTGTAGCTTATCTTTGCATAACTTCAGCTGGACCATGTGCTCCTAAGCATGCTGAGCTCTTGGCCTGCTCAAAAATAAAAAAGAAAACCAAGAAGAGTGGATTTCAGGCTGGTAGCTGTGCTGAAATCAGTGCTTAATGCAGTGTCTCTGCAGAAGTGCACCTCATTCTTGCATTTTGAAGGAAACTAGCACCACAGATACCCTGTTCTACTTAGGCTTTTTTTTTCCCTTAACTGCTTATAATGTTAAGAGTAATTCTAATAGTTATTCTGGTACACAACCCTGTTTGCACCACTGAAAATCATTGCATCACAGGTTGGAAGTGACCTCTGGACATCATCTAGTCCAACCCCCTGCTCAAGCAGCTAGAGCAGGTGGCACAAAACCACATGCAGGAGGGTTTTAAAAAGCTGCAGAGAAGGGGACTGGAAATATCAGCTGGTGCTCCCTCCTTTCTCTAATTTATAATATTGAAAGCATCTTAAGATACTTGGATGGAGCGCAACCTCCGTGATCCCGCTGTGCGTAGAGATTTTCCTCCCAAAACAGATGGAGACACTGGATCCATAGGAGTCCTGCGCCGTGCTCTCCAGCTCTTCAGGATCTTGTGGACTCAGCCCAGGGCTGGACTTTGTGCTTCCCTAAAGCAAATTGTGCAATTTGTCCTACCAGCAAAAGGTTTCCCTGCCAAATCCCAGACCTCGGGACCGCAGCGCTTCCGCATGGAGAACCCGTGGAGTCAAGAGGCTGCCAGATCGTAAGAAGCTTCCCCTTACCCTTGCAAATACATCAGCAACCCCAGGCTGCGTTAAAAATATTGAAAATCACAATAGGAATTCAACGTTTGGGTGCTGGACGGCCAGCAAACGTTCTTTGGAGCACGATACTCCACCAGCATCTCAGTGTTTGCCAACAAAAGGATGAAGCTGTAATCTCCCCGTCACAACACGAGCTCCGGGGCTGCCTCCGGTGTGGTCAGGACCAAGCAGAATATTATCCCCAGACTAAAGCTACGGAAAAATTAGCTAGAAAATACCCCAAAGCCACAAAGCGGCTGCTCTGCCCGAGTCCTTGTTTCCCTGGGGGCTTTTTGGTTTTGAGTGAGCTAGCAAAAATCAGTTTTGTCAGTAGAAACTAAGTAACCGCCAGCTATGCCTGGAATGCCTTGCAGCTGCGAAGGAATTTTCCAAGTAACAGTGATTACTTTTGTGTCTTTTAGCTACTCAGTTTAGGCTTTGAACGGTGTGTGTGCTTTCACATTTGCTTTTGCATTTGGGGGATTTTGCTTTAAAGAGAATATTTCTGCTTCCAGTTTTTTTTTTTTGCTCAATTTAAGCAGTTTTCTCCCTCAAAACTCAATTCCAGAGGTGAGGGTAAAAGCAAAACTCGGTAAGAATATTAATTAAATGAAGAATATTGTTCAGAAGTGGGGGCTGTATAGTAGGACTTGGCATTTTGATACCGTTGTGTCTTGCCTTACATGCAAATAATGGGGAAATAATATCTATAAACTGTTAAACCCACCAACCAGAAGTACTTTTATCTTCTGAAATATGCTACAAAAATTAAGTGAACTGATCAAATCTGGATTTAATAGACATTCCCCCTCATTGTACGGGGGAAGTTGCAGCCAAACGTGCTGCAAATTGTATTCATGTGACACCCTGAGAGGCAACAACTTGAAACAAAACAAGGAATTCAGCTGTTTCTTATCACTTGTCATTGTGCCATCTTATTACTTACACCCACTCTAACAAGATAATGCATTTTTTTAAATCTAGGTTTATTTCAGCACTAGCTGCCTGCCTTTATTCCAGGAAAGAAATTCTGCAGCTGAAATCTAACCAGGGAAACTCTTAGGATTGAATGTGCGTTTTTGCTAACCATGATGCCTGCTTTTTGGACTCCCTTCTGCCCTTACTCTGCGAGAAAAGAAATGCTCCTAGTGCAAGGATCTGCTTCAGAAAGATGCAGAAATCTCCCTAATATTTGTTATAGCAGCATCCTTATCGGACGTGCCCTTGCTCTGCCTCGGGATGCTAAAGCTTTCCAATAATTCTTGCCCACCTTATCAGTTCTTAAGGGTAGGGAGGTTTCGTAAGTACAGTCCGGGGGGGGTGTCTTTGAAAGCTTGAAAATCCTAAACTTGGTGTCACAGAGTGAAAAAAGGGCTGGTTAAATCCTGCCTCCTGTTAGGGCACAAATCTAATGCCGAGACCATGTGAGACTCAGGACTCCAGAGAGTGAATGAAGATGATTTAAGGTGAAGGGACAAGGCTGTCGTGGTGGGTCCTCATCAGCATAGGTAAAGATTCGGTCTCGGAGCGATCGTGGGGACACACTAACCCCGTCCCCCTTTCAAGCTCCATGTACTTTTCCTGTGTTTTTATTTTCTCTTTTCTAGTAGTGTTTGGCTCCAGCAGTTCCGGTTGGCGGACATAAAGTGGCATTATTTACATCAGAATCCAATGCACGTGTTTTTTCAGTGGTTATGAAGATTGAAAGTGGAAAGCTGTAAAAACATCTGGGGTTTTGCTGCAGCTTCTCTAATTCTCAGCCCTGGGAGCTTGTTTCCCTTCTCCTTTTAACCTTCAAATTCTTCCTGAGTTTTACCCTTGCAGAAGCTGCTGAGAATGGGAAAATGCTGCTTTTTGGTTCCATAAATCCAAACCAGGCACTTAGCAGTGGGGACTGAGCTGATCCATGGCCCGTTGTTGCAGTCACTACGGCCTTAGGAAATGCTGGAAATGCTCCTTTTGGAGCAGCCTCCCCCGCAGCGAGCGCTCCTCAGCCTATTCCCTCACAGCTCTGCCCTTCCCATGGGATTTTAAATGGGCTCGACAGCTTCTCCGGGAGCCAGCTGCGGCGCGCGGTGCAGCCGGGGCTTTTCCCTTAGGGAACCATTTGTCGGATTTTCCCTCTCGGGTCTGAAGCTGCCCAGCCAGCTACAGCTCTGGATATGGGAGCACAGCATCCAAAATACTGCCTACCCTCTTCTTTATATATAGGTCTTCCATTCACGTATATTTGGATTAAGCGAAGCCGCCAGTACGACGTGGTATCATGTGTATGTGCAATTCTTTAGAAAATGGGGTTAGAAAATTACTCTTAAGACCCTTAGCCTAAGCTAAGCTTAATGATTTACATGGCCTGCTATAATCCCTCCTCTTCAACTTGCATATGTGGCTCTGACTTTTGAGATTATATCCTTATTGCTGCTTCAATCCCAGCGCTGAATAACACATGTTCTGTGGAGGAACGTGGAGATCAGCTGCCCTGTCACAAGATAATCCTGCCGTGGAGCTGCATGGGGGACAACGAGCACGACTGCTTGGATTAATTTATACCGATGTTTAACATCTCCCCGGGCTGAGCTCGGGCTTGGAAATAGGGCTTGCTCTTTGCTTTGCTTTGGAAAGAGGAAGCTCTTCCCGCGGGAATGGGATAAACCTTCCTTATAGACACGGCCATCCCTAAAAGCCATTTAGCAGCTTCCAGGAAAGCAGCACGAGCCTTGCAGAGGTCACCGAGCCAGCAAAAAGCTCTCGCATTCCTGTTTTAAAGGCCACTCTAACTCACTGAGCCCCGCAGAAAACTTTCAAATTTCACATCTGACAGATGGAAGGAATTGCTCTTTTCTCCTCTTTCTTTTGGGAAATCACTTGTTTGCTCTGCTCTCCCAAGGAGGAGATGGAGGCAGAAAATAGCGGCTTTGAATTGAATACAATAAAGAGCAACATTTCAGGTGCTACTTTTGAAGAAAGCTTTGCTTTGTAAAATGTTTTGGAATCTATAAGCAAGGGGGGATCTGAGGAAAGGAATGAAAGATTTAAATGCAACATTGCAACGGGGAGTTATTAATGATGAGGTAATTCAACCAAAATCACTAACTGTCCTTGTTTTTCTGTTTCTTGCCCTACATCCCACCTTTTCCCATTTGTCCTGCTGCTGACGCCCACAGGACCCAACCTAAGGTAAGACCTTTAATTCCACTTTAAATCAGAGGGTGCAAATTGCTGCCTCGCTGATTCAGTTTGGGGTTATCCAAATATGAAAAGCATTTTGCAAACCGGCTCTGTAGTTGATCAGCTGTTGTATAAGAAATTCGAGGCATCTCCTTGCTGCAGATGAGCTCTGCGTAACCTTTGCCAAAAAATGAGTCACAGGAACAAATGAGAACATCCATACTCAGCATTACAGATTGTGAATGAAGAGTGCTTGTTATTTGTGGGTTTTTTAAAGCGTTTTCTGGTATTTGTGTTATGGCAAACTCGTTTGTTGTTACAGCTCATGATCCCCTGACTGGCCTGGCCTATTAAGATTCAGCTTTACTGATGTGGTCATATATCTACTGATGTTTTATTAAACACTCTGAAAGCTCGGAGTGGTGTAATTGTATAATCAATTCAAAGAACCCTAATAATTTTAAATAAATGAGCTGTTGCTTCCTCAGTTAGAGCTTATAAAATAACCCCTTTTATCTCTTGATGCTTAGACATATTAATGTAGCATAGGCCAAATGCATTGCATTTCTGTGAAGATGGCTTGTTTGAAATTTGAAGGATGTGGCTGTATTAAGCATCTTAATAAAGTGTAGATAGCAAGCTTGTAATGCCTCAAGTTTGAATTTTCAATTCCTGCATCATTCTTACACGTTTTAGTATAAATGCTTAGTGAAAAGTTGCATTATTGCAGACTGAATCTTGAAATCATAATTCAGATTTCATGATAGAATCTATTAGGAAATGTGTAACTGAAGTAATTCACCACAGACTCAATATCTTTTTTTTAGGGTATTCCCATTTTTGATACTGTCAAGTAGATACGATGCTACGGAGCTTTTCCCTAACAGCTTTACTAATTAAAAAACGTTACGTTTAGCTACTGTGCAGAGCCTACTTAATTAGTGGTGACTTTAGTGAATCTACATAATAGATTTTCCAAAACTGAACGTAAAAATACATTAAGTGATAAAAGGGAAATAAAGGAAGGGGGCTCAGAAGGTGGGTGAGAGATGCTGCTGTGATGCCAAGTTTGCAAAAGAGAAAAGCCCAGTGAGAAATGGATCGTGAGGGATGGATTTGCAGGAGAGCTCCATGACATCCAGTCACTTGCTGCCCCTATGGATCGTGAGGGATGGATTTGCAGGATGCTAAGGTGAGCTCCAAGACATCCAGTCACTTGCTGCCTCCGGAGTTTGTGAAGAGCCCAGGACAGGATTCACCCAGTAAAGGAAAACTGGGAGCAAGTTTGCGTTTTGGGAGACCTGTGGGGATGTGGACGATGGGGCAGCGGGTTTGATTTGGCAATAGCTCTTACAAGGTCCCCTCCTGATGCTTCTTCTACAGGTGTTTGCATATGATCACTGCTTTTGGTCCATGGATGAGTCTGTCACGGAAAAATTTGCAGGTAACATTTACTGTAGTCGTTACTGTTGTCTCCACTTGCAAATAATCCGATTATATTATACCTCATGGTGGAATTTAAGTCTTTTTTCATATACGATGAAGTATCCAATGTTCTACTAATTGTCCTAAGTTAAAATCAAGTGGCAGTTGTTACAGTAACTGTGAGGGTGGAATCTATTTTGAGGTGCTGATGGGTGAAGTTCTGCAGTTGATAGTAGATCCTCTGCAGATGAAATTTCTGAGCAAGAACGTTGTGAGGATGTAGTCACAAGCACATAAGATCCATGTGCAATAATCACACGTTCTGATTTTTGTAGTAGGCCAAATCTGGAGGAGAAATCTACTGGCCAGTGGCCTTGCTGCCCTTGAAGGAATGGATCCTGGCTGCCAAATGCAGTATTTAGTCAAGAGCAGCAGTAAGATATTAACAATTTGCTTTTTTATAGTCATCGAAGAATTCAAACCGAGGTTTAAAAAAAGCATCTTGGGCTTTCTTTTCCCGTTAACTTTGTGTTTTTTTCTCAGGTCAAGATGTTGTTTTCAAGTGCCTTGGAGAAAATATTCTTCAGAATGCCTTCGATGGCTACAACGCTTGCATCTTTGCATACGGGCAGACAGGTGAGACTTTGCAGGGCATCAGCAAAACCATTGCCACAAAAAATGCTACGTCCTGACAGGAGTCCCTCCTCGGGGTTGTTGTGTCATTTGAGAAGTGCCTTGCCATGTAGATAAGGAATGTTTTTCTCCCTTCTAATGTTGGATGTGTGACTGAGGTGGGCAGGATGAGGGATGTGTCCTTGCTGGCTGCCCTGATTTCCCACATCTTTAGATTATCATCTTCTGGATGATCATGACCGTCCCTGAGTTTAGTACATCATTAATATCTTCTGCCTCTCTAGTTAAAAAAATCATTAGTCATCATTTTAGATGTAATAAGCAAAAACGAGCAGGCTTGTCCAACTGATTTTTCTCAGTATGACACATAATAAAATGTGGGTGTCAGTGGGCTGTCATGTACAGGCAGATGGTATCCAGCAGAAAAAGTCTTTTCAGTCAGTTTGAACAAACTTTCACATCTTGCTTTTTCATTTTATTAAATAGGACATAATTTAGCTAAACCCAGTCTATTTGCTTTAAAATAGAGAGCTGTACAGACGTCGTTCACTGAAATGCAAACTTTTTTCCAGCTCATTTCTCCATTTCCTTCCCATGTTCCACACAGCAAAGAAATTCAGTTGCTTGTACATTAATTATAGATTCACTTACACAGGATCTGGAAAATCTTACACCATGATGGGTACTGCTGACCAGCCTGGATTAATCCCTAGACTTTGTAGTGGACTTTTTGAAAGAGCACAGAAAGAGGAAAACGAAGAGCAGAGCTTCAAAGTGGAAGTGTCCTACATGGAGATATACAATGAGAAAGTCAGAGATCTTCTTGACCCAAAAGGGTAAGCAATATATGTGTGAAAATGCACTGGAATATGCTAGGTTTTGTCATTTCCTCATACTAATTTACCTTAATGAACTATCTCTTAGCCATTGTGGTAGGATGACTTTCTTTTCCATCGTCCTTTTTATTTAAATGAAGTAGTATGTGTAGACATAAGGCTTTTTTGCTGTTTGCATTATAGTCTTTGCTCTGTGCTTTATATGCTCTGTAGACCATCATGTTTGACATGTCAGTGAGAAATACGGTTCACTGTAAATGCTGCCATCTTAAATCAGTCGCATGCTCATAAATATATTTTTTTTTCCATCCAGAAGCCGTCAGTCATTAAAAGTTAGAGAACACAGTGTTTATGGTCCTTATGTAGATGGCCTATCCAAACTAGCTGTTGCTAGCTACAAGGTAAGGATCAATTTTATGCAAGGCTGGTGTGGACACCCTGAACACTTGGGAACTGTCCCTCATATGAGCTTGCAAAACTGAACAGGCCAGAGTTAATTAACTTACCAGAGCAGTAACCTGGATTTTAGTGTAATCTGGAGGATTGTTGTGCTAATCTTACTGGGGAAGGTAGAGGTTGAGAGCAGATGCTTATCATCACCCTGTAATGTTTAATAATTCTGAAAAAATATTTAATGAAACAGCTTATCTCGCAGCTTTAAGATGAGTTTAGGCTGGATTTCTGCAAAGTTGGGTGATTAAATACAGAACCACGATTCAGAGGAGACTTCAGTACTTCATCTTGTCACATGTTACGGCCTAGTAACTCACACGCAGCATGCAGGCACCCCAGAAGTATGAACGAATGGCTGGTTACAAGGCAAATGCTTGAGAATATTGCATTAAAATCTGCTTTTTTGGAACATCCTGTACCTCATTGTAGAGCAGCTGCATGTCTGCCTTCTCAGAGCACCCTAATTTTTAGGAAGCAATTGATGCACTGTGGAAGAAACCATTAAATGCAGGAGGTAATTTTGTCATCTTAAGCAAAATTTGCAAAATGGTGGTTTTCTAGCCCCTCCGAGTGCAGTCCCTCCACTCATTCATGCACCTCTCTTGGCTGGTTTCTGTTAAGCAAAACCACATTGCATGCATTTCTTTTATATGTTGCCCAGCAGCTTTGCATAATTCAGAAGAGCGAGTCCAAGTGGTCTGTGCTGTTCTTTTGTGTGATCGCTTTGGGTTTTCTTTAACATCCTTTTGCTAAAGATGGGTAAATAAAAGTGAAGCGCAAGGCTCTAAGGTTTTAACTGTTTTACAGATTTTCTGTAGGACACCAAGGCATGGGAGCTGCATATTTCTCAGGGGCTGTAATTTAACATGTCTGGATTCAGCCGACTTCACAAGCTCGTGGTTGTAACAGGAACATTATGACCTGTTCTACAGTGGTTCTGTTTAGCTTTTATTTATAAAACTTAGAGCCTTATGTCAGTATTGGGGCTTTTAAGAATGTGCATTTGCCAGCTGAGGCTAAAATGTTGGAGTGTTCCAAACATGAATTGCTGTTTCATTGCTTCTTTGCTTTAAAGTATCTTTTTGTGCAGCCATATTGCATATTTTTTTAGTGATAAGTTAATATCCAGGTAAAGGTAGTGGATAAAATTGCACACTGACAACATTGTTTCATTTCTAGTCTGTAAAGGAAAGGTCATAATATTTTGTTCTCACGCTTCTTGAGTAAACAGTGAGAAACTTGCAGTAAAATACGTGTATTTTGCCAAAATAAGATTGTTTAGGTAGATAAGTGAAAGGAACATTAATGCAAACATGCTTATGACTGTGAAATTGTGTCTAGGACATAGAGTCCTTGATGTCAGAAGGCAACAAGTCTCGGACAGTGGCTGCAACCAACATGAATGAGGAAAGCAGTCGGTCCCATGCAGTCTTCAAGATCATCCTCACCCACACGCTTTATGATGTACACTCAGGGGTGAGTAAAACAAGTAAAATAAACTGTAATGTCTCCATGTTAACCTTGGATGTATTTCCTTGGCCTTCATACATTTCATGGTACCACAGCAGTTTTGTTTGGATGAACACATGTGCTTGTGTCCAAAGGTAGGGAAGTCAGTTTGGATGTGTTTCCCAAGCTTCACTGGGTTCTGTTCTTTGGGACCTTAACTCCATAAGGTCTTTAAAGCCTTGGAAAGATTTGGAGTGCTGGTCGTGTACATGCCTGACCGTTGAATGCAGCGATGCTTTTCTGACTGCTGTTGACTGTAAAGCCCTAATGAGTGTTTGCATTTTCCTCCTGTATTTCTCAATCTCTGCCAATCCTATTATCCATTTCATTTTCTTTGTTCTTTATTTACTTTCCTTTGCCCTTCAAATAAATTGTTTTCCTATGCTAAACTCCTCATTTTGCCAAAATTTCTTTATTGTTCTTTTTTATGTGGCTATGCTGCATTTATGGTGTGGCTGTGGTCAGCTTGGGTGCAAGGTGGTAGTTTTGACTGTGTTTTTCTCTCCTACATCTTCCTGTACTCGTTGTGTAAACTTCTCGAGCAGATTGCTCTGTTCTCTGCCCTGCAGTTCCTTTCAGTCCTGGAAATTACACATTTCAGTATGCCCTGATGATCCCGTTGTATTTTGAGAGGCTTGGAGTAACTTTTCCAAAAGGGCAGTGGTTCCAGTTTTCCTGTTTGTTTAGGGGAAAACAGCACTCTGCAATCGTGATACTGAGATGCTAAAGTGATAGGAGCTGCAGAAAAGCATGATGCAAACTTCTTAAAGACTGTGCTCTATTAAAATTCACATTGAGATGTATAAGTTATGGGGTGTTTCAGAAGACCACTTTGGGTCAAATAAGATGCTTGGCAAGAGTTATAAGGAGTAATGGGGACTTGGCAGCAAAATCTGTCTTACACGATTGCAATACACAGCTTGGAATTCCTTCTAGGATGCTCTTAAGGATATAGGAGACTTCTGCAGTTGTAATCATTTTCATAAATTAAAACATGCTTCCTGTCATGTTCATTCTTCCTCACTGGAAACCTGGGATGAAACTTGGCATAAAACCTGAGATTTTGGGGAGACTGTTTTCAAAAGTATAAAACAAAGGCAGAGATTGTAGACCCTGTGCCCCCATACGTGATTCCCAGGCTATATTCCCTCTGCATATGTTCCTGCTTCAGCATTTGACTTAATAGACCCCATGTTCCTCTTCTCTGGAGACTTCTGAAATGTCTTGGTAGGTGTCTTCAAGATATATCTGATGTCTGTATATCTGACATCACTTTAAATCCTCCTCTTGTTTCTAAAGCAGTAACCAATGAGTTACTGCAGAACATTGTACTATGGCTCTCCAAGTTTTTGGAACAACTGCAATGAGCCTACACCAAGAAACGAAGCTTTATAATTTTTGGACATATGTGCAAGTGTGTGACTTATTTGGAGTGAATTAACACTAGCTGTTCTCCCTCTGCAGACGTCAGGTGAGAAGGTGGGCAAGCTGAGCCTGGTTGACTTAGCAGGCAGTGAAAGGGCCACCAAGACCGGTGCTGCAGGAGACAGGCTGAAGGAAGGAAGCAACATTAACAAGTAAGACTTGGTTATTTCTTTTCTCCTTCTCATCAACACATTAATGAGTGTAAAATACAGTGTAATTTTAAAGCAGGATAAAATCAGTATAAGTTCCTGCAGGGTACTCGTTGCAACCAGTTCTCTCTACTCTTTCTACCATAAAATAGTCGTAAATACCGGAATGAGATCTCCACTAATTTAAAAGAGTTGGTGTTTTTCATTCAGTGCTTGTGTTCCTGCAGCTAGTGCCTAGCTGCAAGGTAAAGGCATGATTAGGATGGCTGAAAACATATTGCCAAGCAGTATTTGCATATTGCAAAACCTTTTCATATTGCAAAGATTAGCACTAATCAAAACTGCACTGGAATTTTTGTTCTCAAAGCTCCTTTGTGGAAAGTGACTGTCTGAACATGCTTTTGACTTACAAATATATACAACTGCTGCTTGTGTTTCTGGACAGATCCCTCACAACTCTTGGGCTCGTTATTTCTGCCTTGGCAGACCAGGCTGCTGGCAAGAACAAGAACAAATTTGTTCCTTATCGTGATTCCGTCCTCACTTGGTTACTTAAAGTAAGTACTTTGATCCCTTTTTTTTTTTTTTTTTTTTTTTTTAAGAGGGGAATAAAAAGGATGAGAATGGGAGAAAAGTCACATTCAGTGAGATAAAGCACTGTTCTTTTGCTGGATTTTCAGGTTTTGATGTTAGCTGTCGTTGTCTTTGGAAAATTAGCTGGATGGAAGCCATTAGTATCTCCGCAGACTAACCATGGTCCTTATCTGCTGTTGACCTAGAGAATAAGGAACTTTTTTAAAAAACATTCTCTCTTCTGGGTCACTTTACAGTCAGCTACACACGGAACCTTGGGACTAATTTAATTTGAGCTATCACTGTCTGTAATTGAAGTTTGCCTACTAATGTGGCCAACTTTGATGACTCTGATCCAGACCATTATCTTTTTGCTATTTTTCTAATATATTTGTTAATATACCCAGCTTTTGTCCTGGGGGTGTCATTGCAGAGCAGTGTCCCAGATACAGCCTGAGGAACAGGTTGGAAGAGTTTTTTATCATGTTCATGGGAAATAAGCTGTTAATTCAGTTCCTGTGCTGCATAAACATCTGTTTAATATTTCTTATAAATGCTGGCTCTTCATGGCACTTGGTTAAATGTCTGCAAGGTCTAACTGAAGATCAGAATTATTAAATGAGTCCTATGTATGTCTAAGTAAAAAGGCAAACTCTTCATCGCATTCTTACCACTTCCTACATGTGCTTTTTAAAAGTGTGGTAGCCTGACGAAGAAAAATGTTCCCTTGCTCCCCAAATGAGTGGGAAAAGGAAGTGTAGTCACTTCACTCCTCAAAAAGCTAACCTGCTAGTAGTTATCTTCCCAAATATTGTTAAATATATTTTCAGCTCTGTATATTTACATTAGATATATATATTTTTTGCCCTTAATTAACTTTGGCTGTCAGCAGAGTTGGAAACATCAGCTCTCTTGGTTTATTCCAGCAGCATTTGTGCTTGGGCTCCCAACGCGGGTACAATAGTCTGAGTAAGCAGAAGTGGCAACTTTTCTAACGTGTTCCTGGTGTTGTTGCTGGGATTAGTTACGCTGTTCCCTTTGGAAGCAGATCCCGTCAGCAGATTGACATTCCTGGATAGCACCTGCCTGGTTCGTTGTCACCGAGATGGTGACGACCGGGCACGCGCGGTGCCCGCGTTGGCTCCCAAACAGCAACGTGCTTTTGTGCTGCCTCCTTCCAAGGAAACTGCCTTTGTCTCCTTAACATGCAGCTGTGTTAAAGCACAAATAAAAGTTTGGAGCTTTCTGGATTTTTTTTCCACAAACAAGCTCATTGAAGAGAAACTTTCTTTGAAAGGGGAGACTTTTAAAAGTAAAGATCAGAGGAAGGTTTTATTCGCTGCAGAGGGGCTGTTTGAAGAAGCAATGAGATGATGGACATTTTCTAGAGTGTTCAGCTTTTAACTATATTGCCAAAGTGGAGAAAATGTGTTCTGACACCAGGAATATCTGTGCACAAATTGGAGACACTAGCGGAATGCAGAAGATCACAAAATCTAGTGCTTCATGTTGATAATTTAACTGAGGCTTTTTGCAAAAAAACCCTTGGTGCAAACTTTTATTCCAAGGGGAGGTTGGAAGAGCAGCATCAGGACATCAACTTCTCAGCCTCCTGGATTTATCAAACTGTATGGGTACAAACCCTTCATTTTCCCATTTTATTCACAAGGCCTGTCTATCTTTTATTTGACTTATTTTATGCTTTATTTTATTACCATAAATGATAAACGCTGCTAAAAGTGTTTTCTCAATACCATTACATTTAATGCTGTTTTCTCAGCATTACAAAGACGAGGCTAATTTAATCTTAGAAATAATTAAACATTTTCATTCTTCCTTTTTCTGTCAGGTACAAACCCAGCCTTTCCAGTGTAGTTTCCAAACGCTGCCCTCGCTTATGAGAGACCAGCCTGCAGCTCGTCTACCTTTCTGCTTAGCATTAAAGAGTGAAGTCAGCACTAGAGTTTTATGCATAAAACTTTTGTCAGGCAGCCTGGACAGCTGCAATAAAAAGGGGATTTCACCCAGCTCCTCGTGTGTGTGCTGTGAGTTACAGGGCATCGCTGTAACTCCATTCACAGGTGCCTGTACAGAGGAGCTGTAATTCAGATGGTGAATTCATCCTGTTTAGGATGAACTAGTTAGTGCATGGAGGGAACTAGTTAGTGCATGGAGGTTCCCGAAGTGCAAACTGTAAAGGTGTTTTTGGAAGGACGAGTGCCCGGCTCAACTTTGGCTTTTTATGCAGAACCGACATTGCTGTATTAGAGGGTTGTTGCTATTTTTTTGCATTTGGGGAAGAGAAGCAAAGTTCTGCTTTTATAGAGAAAGAAATCCCGATGAATCCATGCCGAGCTCCCATGGGATCCCTGAGGAGAAGCCTTGGATAAGCACGAGCTACCTACAGGCTGCAAAGCAGCATCAGGCTGCGTGGCTGACGTTGCCCAGGCTGCTGTCCCATTATTTGAAGCATGATGCAGCAAGGAGAGCCTTAAGGAAATACTTGGAGGGGCATTTTAATGATGGGGAGGAAGAGCTGCATGTGGGCTTGGTAATTGAAATTACCAAGGTGAGCAGCTAATGCGGTCGGATCGTTCCGATGGCAGCGTCCGGCCCGGATTTCAGGGGTTGTTGAAGACGAAAGTTAATATGATTCTTCTCAGAAAGAGAGAGATACTGGGCTCAAAACAAATAACAGAATTTCTGCAAAATTCAGAACCGAAGGTTTTCGAGGCTGCCTCGAGTTGCAAAGCTGTGTTCTGCAATCGTAAAAGGAGCGAACGCTCCCGGCCCCCGCTTCCCCGCCGCGCTGCCGTGCAGGAATCTGCATTCCCGCTTCACACCCTGCTCTCTGCCGACCAAATTCCAGAAAATTTGTATTTCTTATATAACCCCAATGAGCTTTCTGAACTGTGCGGGCAGAGGGGAAAGCGATATTGTAACCATAAAATAAACTATATTATTTATGATATCTTCAAAATAGGATAATCGCGCTGTAGTTGAGCCAAGCCTTTAGAGGCAAATGTGTCAAGTCTTAGAGTACACATTTTAAAACAGGGTATAATTACTAAGCTAGAAATCTGCAGGCTTAAGCGGCATACCAATTTTGGCCCTAAAAGTACAATCAGAAAATAACTAAAGAGCTGGTGATGTATTGCCACTACAAGATCAAGAAGGAAAGTGGAATGGACAGCAAGTGGATTTTAATCAGTATAATTTAAATGAAGTACTTAGTGGGGACGTGTCACTTTGGGTCCTTAAATGAAGATACACGGGCTTCATCATGATCCTTCTTCCTGTGCTACTTGGGTAGTAGCTGGAGAGTCTAGTGCTGAATTGCTAATATTTCTAATCTTAAAGTCTAAGACATGGAAACAAGCTTTTCAGGGCCTTCCTAGGTAGCATAAAGACCAAAAATGGGTACTGGGTTTTGTTCCTTTTAAACTAACACTGATTCTAGAAGCCAAGGATGATATTTCCTAAACATACTTTAAGAAAAAAGGGGGAAAAAAGGGAGAAAAAGAATTGGAGAAAAAAAAGCTTTGTTTGATCTAGTTTAATACTGCAGTTTAATACCAGTTTTGAATGGAGAAGCTCTGGCAATAAATAGTTGTGCCCCAGTTTCACTCCTCACTTCATTGATACGTCAAAACTAATGGAACTTCCTGCCTTAATTTTCCATCCGCTCCCGTTTTCCAGGACAGCCTTGGGGGTAACAGCAAGACTGCCATGGTAGCAACAGTCAGCCCGGCGGCGGACAACTACGACGAGACCCTGTCGACGCTGCGGTACGCGGACCGCGCCAAGAACATCGTCAACCACGCGGTGGTCAACGAAGACCCCAACGCCCGCATCATCCGGGAGCTCCGCGAGGAGGTGGAGAAGCTCCGGGAGCAGCTCACCAAGGCAGAGGTACCGCTCGGAGCCCTGGCTTGCTGGAAACTCCTCTAAGCCCCAGCGGGATGACTTCCTTCCCTGGCTCTCAAAACTGGTGCCGCCGGGAATTACTCGATACTCTTTATCACAAGTCTCCTGTAGTATCATTTTTTTCTCTCTCCGTTTTTCTTTAGGTCAGTGTTGAAAGATGAAATACCAGGTTCTGCTTGAACACGCTCCCAAGAAATCATGTTTTTATGTTGAGATACAGAGCAGAGAAAAGAGGACGTGTAAGCAGGCATAGGGATGGAGTCTTCCGGGGAGTTTTGCCTGTGTTTTTCAAGAATTCAGTGTGGCCGCATCCTATCAGATGTGAATTCAGTTAATATTGCTTGCTCTTGCAGACATCAGACAATATTATGAGTATTTGCACAACTCCCTCGATGAAATTATGACAGGAGCATAGCCTAAGAGCTAAGCCAAGGCCAAGAACCTGCATGTGTCTGAGTTTGCTTCTCAAATGTGGCAATGCAGTGCTTTTATAATTGGGTGATTTAGGAAAATTATGACTATAGTGTTTGTCTCCTGAGGTTTGCAGGGAGCGCTGGCTGCAATATTAGAAATGACTGGTGAAGTTTGGATTCTGCTCTTTGGAGCTGCCTAATGTGCTAAGCATCCAATAAGGGAACATCAATTTATTTAAGAAACCTCAAGTTAAATATCTAAAAATTCATCCAGAATGCAGACAGACATAAAGTGCCCTGGGAGATGCAGGTACTCCCTGCACGTCTCATTTGCAGGTGTTAATGCCAAAACACTGACATCCCTCCAAAGCAATGAGATACTCTTTCCTAAATATGAAGTAATCCATACTTCCTTTCCCAAGTATTAAAATCCCACCCTTGTTGTCATCTGAGTGACATTGCCAAAAAAAAAAAAATAGAAAACAGTTGAATTTGTTATTAAAAGGCTGCACAGTAAAGGTCAAAAGCCACATTCGTCGTCCTCTCTGTTCAGGCCGTTCCGCTTGCAGCTTCTCTAATTGTTCTTACAGAAATGTGCTTAAGCAGTGTTCTTAAAAGAACAGAAACATTGACCCCGTTCCGACAGCCCGTGATATTTTTCAAAGCTCATTTCTAAAGATAGACCTTGCTCTAAGTTGCAGGGTTGTTTTTTGCTTTTTCCTTTTCTCTCCTGAGTGGCCGTGGCAGGACTGAACTTGACAGTTGTTTTTTTCCCAAAAGAGTAAGACTTACCCTCTTTTGCCTTTTTCTTATTTAATCCGTGTATGTTGATTCTGTTGACATGAATATCATCGGTTTTTTAACTTGGTTGTGGCAACAGCCACCAGCCTGTCCTTCCTAAGCAGAGAAGCACAACTGCCTTCCTAGCTGGAATCTGGAACCGATTGCCCAGCTCATTCTGCAGCTGAAACATGGGAAAACTGTGAGTGATTTTGCCCAAGGTCCAAATAAATCCACAAACTTGGAAGTTGAGAAGATATGGGCTTCATTCTCCTGCCCTTCTCTGCAATATCCAGCACCTTTGCGCTGGTCATATTTTATTAGCTGTAATAAATTTTATTTTGAAGACTGTATTGGCTTCACTTGCCTTCCTGGCTGGAGTTCACGTTGCCTTTTACCCTATATTTAAGTATTTGGGATACTAAATTGGGAAGAGACAATGTAGGACACATCAGCTGGTGATTCCTAGACTGCTGCCTTTTGAGCCAAGGAAGCTGCTCTCTCAAAACAGGATTTTCCACCTGGCAGTTGCTCCTTTTTCTGAGCAAACTGCCCTGCAACGAGGCCTTTCTGCTTGCTTTGGATTCCCACAGCAGAAATAATGCCAGTACTGAGATTGGAAGATATACATACATATATATATATAAATATTAAAATGTTGATGTTATTCTGGTGTGTCTTCTTATTCTCAACGCCAGGATGCTACATGGGCCTTGGACTAAATCACAAAACAAAATTAACGCTGTGAGTTCTGATAAATTAACAAGAAAAATTGAATGCTGGTGTCCAGAACCAAATCATAAGGCCAAGTCTTTTGGAATTGCATTGGTATAGAAATGATGATAGTTTGTGTCTGAATGTCTTTGTGCCAATCTGCCAGTATCATATAATTATTTTACATTAAAGTATACAAATTCTACTTTAGCATCTGCACTTGAAACAAAGTAAACTAACTTTTTAATGAAAACAGTGTTTATGTGCAATATGTATTTAAAACACCTTTGCTTACAGCTCAAATATGCCTTGGAAAATGAGTAATATGTGTTTCTTTTTTTCCCCATCTGTTTTTTCTGATGTGAAAAAATAATACAGGAAGTTTTCTTGTTTTATTTGCCTTTACTTTTGCAGGCGATGAAATCCCCAGAACTAAAAGAACGGTTAGAGGAATCGGAAAAGTTGATTCAGGAAATGACTGTGACCTGGGAAGAGAAATTAAGAAAAACTGAGGAGATAGCACAGGTCTGCACCTTTTAATTTATTTTATTTTTAGACGTTTATGGAAAGCAGGTTTTCCTCCTTTGTTTGTCATTCGCAGACGTTGTCAGAATAGTTCCCCACGTTTATGGGTAAGTAGGTCAAGCTTGCTGCCCCTCTGAAAAGCTTCACTTAATTCCTGTGAAAGCTGGATGCCTCCCAGATTACTACTCTAGTGACAATAATAAACTGTCACTCTATGTAAATTGAGAGGTTGTTTAAAAAAAATCCCTGGATGAGAGGATTAGAGGGATTTTATATACTTCAGATAGTAAAATTGTTGTTTGTGCTGAAAAGTGGAGTGTCGAGACCATTAAATGCAAGGCTATGCACTGACTGCCTTAATGGTAAAAGCAAAGAGCATTCAGAATATTAAAAAACAGAGATGTTCAAAATCCCCGCGTGTTTTAATACCTCTCGCGCTGATATTTAAAGCCTCAATCCATAACTGATGCTGATGGTTCCACTGAAAAATTGTGCAGGTCACCATGAATATTGCATGACACTTCCAATTCTTGCCACATAAATGCTGATGTATCTATTTGCAGCAGGGAGCTTTTGAGGGAAGAACTATTGAAAGGTGATGAATAGCATATAATAAATAATAAGAAAATGGAGCATCTGGTACAAAGCCCTCTTGCAGATGACATGTTCAGAACAGGATGGGTTGACTTTAAAGACCCCTTGTAAGAAATGCTGCTTTTACTAAGAGGCCTTTCTGACCCTCTGTGCAGATTCACGGATTTTTTTCTTCTCTGGAAGTGTGAAATATAATAATAATAAAATCTACTCTTATCTTACACACTGGTTTCTAGGCATAGAAAGTCCTCAAGGGTGAAGAACCAGAGTAATGGGATCAGCACTATGGAATTTCCTTTTTTTGTCTGCCTCTAAATTCTCACCCTGAAAAGATGTTACTGATATTACAGAACTGGGGTATTTCATGAGCCTCACACTTCTGGAAAACGTGGATGTTTGCAGAGAAGGGAGGAGGACTAGTGTTTGTGTAAGGCTGTTTTTGGACCTCTTGAAAGCCTGTAGGAAAAATCCTTTTGACATCTTCAGTAGACTTACACAGGCTCAAGGTTAAAGGCTTTTATATTATCATTATTATGGCCTGTCAAGTGATTTTATTTTTGGCCAGCATCCACCAACATCTGTCTGTCACATGTTAGATGGAGGAGCGGGTAGGAAGGAGAGACCATTATAAATCAGGAAGAATGATTCCTCCTACAGAACGATGCAGTTTGTCGGGATGAAGAGGCAAAACGGGATCAAAGCAGTAAGGAGGAATTGTGCAAGCAGGCATTTCTGTCAAGTTTTCAGCAAGTATTTGACATCCTCACCTTTTTTGAATGCTTAAGTCAGTTAACATTGGATCATGAGCAAAAGTTAACCAAAACTTGCTCACTTCCTTTAAGTGGATCCTCTGAGATTTAGACCACGGGCCAAGTCCTCCTTTGGGCACCGCGTCCTTTACTTTTGTCTGTAGATAATAAGGAATGATTTGAACATCAGAGCCTGGCACTGGTAACTGGGAGGTTTTTAACAACACACTTTTTGTTCATTGTTTTTGCACGTGTGCACATAAACACACATCCCTCACCACGGCCCTGACTTCTCCACACCATGTAGCTTCCATAGATGTGGGAGAAGAAGGATAGAGAAAATCAAGCAGGGATCCTGCTTACTCTTTGCAGTCTTCATTTTTGACTACCCTGATGCAACACCAACACTAAACAGAGTTATACTCAATAGTTAAAGGTGCTTTTTTAGATAAAGAGCAAACTGGCAGGTAAGGTCGAGAACCTGAATAAATATTGCAGCAACTCAGCTCATTTCCAGCTTTGTCCGAACCTGTGAACAATTCTGAGTGAAAACCCTGCTGAAATCTTTTTGCTCTGCACTGGGTGCAGAGGCATTTCTGGCTTGACA